TATGGAAATACGCTCATAGCAATGCTTTACCAGCTTTACAATGAATTTTATAATAGATGTCAACTTGATTAAGAGATACCCAGGTAGCTGGTAAAACGCAATTTCCAGATATTTCCAGTGTTTCTGGAAGACAATGGCACTTCAGTCACCAGATTGAGTATCAGTCCATTTGTACTTCTATAAGAACATACCTGAGACTGGGTCATTTATAAAGGACAGAGACGTGTATTTTCACACAGTTCTGAAAACTGGGAAGTCTAAGATCAATGCTTCAGCAATTTCAGTGTCTGGTGAGGGCTGCTCTTTGCTTCCACGATGGTGCCTTATTGCTGCATCCTTCAGAGAGGAGGAACATTGCATCCTCATAGGGTAGATGGTGTCAGTGCAAAACAAACAAAAAACTCTCTCAAGCCCTTTTATAAGGGCCTTAATCTGTTCATGAGGATGGAGGTCCCCATGACTTGATCACTTCCGAAAAGACCCCATCTCTTAATATCACCACATGGGGATTACATTTCAACATAAATGTTTAGAGACCTATTCCAACCACAGTAGTAAGGAGAATCCATCCTCACCCAATGTGGGTAGGCACCATACAATCAGCTGATGGCCTGTATATAGCAAACAGGCAAAGAAAAGGTGAACTTTCTCTGTCTCTCCTAGAGCTGGGATGCCATTCTTCTCTTGCCTTGAACATCAGATCCAGGTTCTCTGGCCTTCAGACTCCAATACTTGCATGAGCAACCCAGGCATTCAGCCTCAAGCATTCAGCCTCAAATGGAGAAACCATCTACTCTCCTAGTACTCAAGCCTTCAGATTTGAATTGAGCCACCAATTAATTTCCCTGGATCTCCAGACTGCAGATAGCCTATCATGGAATGTTTCAGACTCCGTAATTACGTGATCACATTTCCATATATGCTGATTCTTCTCAGGAGCCACCTCTGCTATCTTTTTTTGTTTCTAGACCTATAAATACACTCAAATCCCAGTAGACCTCTAAAAGTAAGGAACAAAGTACAAACCATGAGGAGGTACCCTACTAAGCTCCAAAGGAACTACTTGAGTTTTCTAATTCATACAAGCAGAAACTCTTGGAATGTGTGAGGCTGGACATTGAGGATTTAGAATAACAGAGAAGGAACACAAAGTGGAATCCAGTCAAATTTATTGACATCAGCCCACTAAGCAGAGATTCTGCATTTAATATTGCAGCTTGGGAACTCAGGGCTCTATCAGTTTGGTTCATTGGCTGAAATGTGGATCTACGAAAGGGATAGTCTCCTTTGGCTTAACTTAAAGGGATTCAAAAGCTTAAGGAGATTAAATGCTAGAGTAGGTTTATAATTTAAAACTTACTCACCCACAGTAAGAGAGTCCATAAAACATAGTCTCACCCATACTTTGAGAAAGAAATTTGTGAGGAGAGCCCCAGCATCCTTAAAAACTCTGTCCTTCCCTATAGGCCAGACCTTATGCTGGGAACTGCAGTCATTCAACTGGAAAACTTAAAGGCAGTGGAAGTAATTGTATCCCAAGATGGCAGGGGCCAAGTGATGGCACTCAGCCCAAAGGCAAGGCAGGAGTAGTTAATGTAATGACCAACAGAGGCAAAGCAACTACCAGAACAGTCTGACTCATGTAGACACATGGAGCTGGCTAATCACAGTGTTCCTAGAAGTGAAATGGACAAGGAGCCTTCTAAATTTTTATTTGATCTATATAAGCAAAACAGGCAGGTCAAATGAACAAAAGTCTAATTTGAAACATAAAAAGAAAAGAATCAAGTCCTCAGTCAATTCCCAAACTTAAACCAGTTTACAAACTCAGAAGACTGGAATGAAGGGAAGATTACATCCCCTTCAGGAAGGACCCCAAGACTTTACAGAAAACTGATACTGTTGGTCTTGCAGGACCTGGATTGAGACAAGATGGTGGTTTTGTAGTGACGATCTGTCAAGAGTTGAAAAGTAGTTTGTCTAAAAGCAGGTTTTAAATGCAATTTCTTCTTGGAACAATTTTTTTTGAACCACCTAAGAAACCTCTCAATTCACCATGGCAGTAGCAGGGATAAAATGCATGATATCAAAGACAACTACCTTGAAACATTTCCTTCCAACCCAAAATGGAGCTTTATGTTGTGTTTGTCATAAATCTACATATTCTTCTCTCCCAGATGACTATAATTGCAAAGTAGAGCTTGCTTTGACATCTGACGGCAGGATGATAGTGTGCTACCACCTGTCTGTGGATATTCCATATGAACACACAAAACCTATCCCTAGATCAGATCGTGTGAAGAAACACATAATCAAGTGCCGAAATCCAGGTTAGAAGAGAAAAGTGAATACCTTGAACAAGGACCCATGATAGGACAATTTAGCAAAATGTTCTTTACTACCAAGCACCTTTGGTATCCTCACAGACAGTGTCACAGACGTTGTAAGAAACTGGATCCTCCAAAAGACAGATGACATTGAGGTTCTCAGAGGAATCAGAAATGCGCCTCATTTGTCATTTAAGAAAAATCCCACGTGGTGTATTTACTAACAGGTTATATAATAAAATAATAATAAAATTTATTTTCATGTATTAAAAAAATAAAAAAACCTTATACTGTTAGTCTTTCTTCCTACAAGGAACCTATGGCCTTTTCCCAGGCATAGGTTCCTATGCCATTGGGGAATAAAATAAACAGCACTTTCAAGGACTACTGAACATTAGCTCTGAACTACCACTGATTCTAGGAGACCCAAAATATCACTGTAGCTCTCCAGTTAGAGCAGGGGCTTATGGAGGTCAGGTGATACATGGAGTTTTAGCTCAGAGCTGACACACAGTGAGTCCAGTGGGTCCCCAAACCCATGCCATGGTTATTTCCTCAGTTCCAGAATGCTCATGGAGTAGACATGCTCAGAAGCTGGCAAGGAGTGCAGAGATCTACCACCAAGGACTTGAAAGATACAGAAGTGGTGATTCCCACCACAGCTTCATTTAACTCGCCTATTTAGCCTTTCCACAAGACAGGACCATGGATTATCATAAGTGTAAACAATTGCAACTACTGTACCAGAGGTGGTTTCATTGCTTGAGCAAATTAACACATCTCTGGGTACCCAGTATACAGTCATTAATCTGGCAAATGCCTTTTTCTCCACATATGTCCACCAGAAAGTTTTCCTTTAGTTGTCAAGGCCAGCAATACATTTTCATTTTCCTATCTTAGGGATATATCAGCTCCCCAGCACTAAGTCATAGTTTAGTTCACAGAAACTTTCCTTTTCCTCCCACAAGATATCACACATAATGACATTATCCTGACTGGAAACAATGAGCAAGAAGTAGCACACACTCTAGACTTAATGGTAAGACATTTGGGTGCTGGAGTCAAATCTGACTAAAATTCAGGGGTCTTCTACCTCAGTGAGATTTCTAGACATTCAGTGATGTGGGGCAAGTCAAGATAATCCTTCTAAGGTGAAAGGGAAGTTGCTGCATCTGACTCTTCCTACAAGAAGAAGGAAGAAGAAGGTCTCTTTGGGTTTTGAGGGAAAACATACCTCATTTGAGTGTGTTAATGCAGCTCATTTACAAGTGATCTGAAAATCTACTAGTTTCAAGAGGGGCCACAAACAGGAGAAGGTTCTACAAGATGTCCAGGCCACTGTGCAAGTCACTCTACTACTTGAGCCATGTGATCCGGCAGATCCAATAGTGCTTCAAGTGCCAGTAGCAAGCGGGGGTGTTATTTGGTGCCTTTGGTAGGCCACTATAGGTGAATCACAGCTCAAGTCTTTGGAATGTTGGAGCAAGGCTCTGCTGTCATTGGCAGATAACTACTTTCTTTTGTTCATGAACATATTATTTGACCAAACAAGCCATAAAATTATACATGCACAGCAACATTCCATTATCTGGCCTGGCTACAGCTACCACTAAGCATTCAGTCTCTAAAAAGCAGAGACCAATACAAAGCCCCTGACATAGCACTATTCCCTGGGGTGATTAGCCACCTGTGGCAATTTGATTATATTGGATCACTCCCATGATGAAAGAGAGAGTATTTCATCTTTACTGGAATAGACACTTAGTATGGAAATGGATTTCCTTCCCCACATGTAATATTTCTGACAAAACTCACAGAATGCCTCATTCACTATCAAGTATTCCACACAACAACAGAGAACTCACTTCACAGCAAAAGAAGTGCAGCAATCGCTCATCTCATGGGATTTACTGGTCTTACTGTGTTCCCTACCATCCTGAAGCAACTGGCTTGATGAAATGCTAGAATGGCCTCATGAAGTCTCAGTTTCAGTGTCAAGTAGGTGCCAATACCTTACAGGGCTAGGGCAAGGCTCTCCAGAAGGCTCTATATGCTCTGAATCAATGTCTATTATATGGTGCTGTTTCTCCCAGCATTCATGAGTACACAAATCAAGAGGTGGAAATGGTAGTGGTACCACTCACCAGTATCCTTAGAAAAAAAAATTTTTTTTTTTTATCCTTAGAAAAATTTTTACTTCCTGTTCCCATGACTTTATTCTCGGCTGGCCCAGAGGTCTTGTTCTAAAAGGAAGAATGCTTCCATCAGAATACACGACAATGAGTCCATTGAACTAGAAGTTAAGACTGCCACCCAGCCCCTCGGGCTCCTCATGCACCTGAGTCAACAGGCTAAGAAGGGAGTTATATGTTGGCTGGGGTAATTGAGCCTGACTAGTACTCCATAAAGGAGGTAAGGAAGAGTGTATTTGGAATACAGGTGATCCCTGAGTACAGACGCTCCTTGAATTATGATGGGGTGAAGTCCCAGTAAACCTGTTACAGTTTAAAATGTCCTAAGTCATAATATATTCAATACCTCTAGCCTACTAGACATAGTAGTTTAGCCTCTGCTACTTAAACATGTTAAAAACACATTAGCCTACAGTTAGGCAAAAATCATCTAACACAAAGTTTACTTATAATAAACTATTCATTATCTCATGTTACTTACCAAATTTGGCCCACTGTATAGTATTGGTTGTTCATCCTCATGATCCCACAGCTGACTGGGAGCTGTGGCTCACTGCACTGTCCAGCGTCACAAGGGGATTTTGTCCTGCATGTCATTAGACTGGGGAAGAGACAGAAATCCCAAATTCTATCACTCAGAAGAAACCATACTTGGTGCATCACTTTTGCACCTTCGTAAAGTCAAATACATATTAAGTCAAACCATTGTAAGTTAGGGATCATCAGTATCAACATGCCAAGTCAATGGGAAACTACAACAACCCAATCTAGGTAGGACTATGCATTTCCTAGACCCTGTAGGAATAAAGGTTTGGGTCACTCTTTCAGGTAAGAAACCATCACCAGCTGAAGTGCTTGTTGCAAGCAAAGGAAGCAGAATGGGTAAGAGAAGGAGGCCTTTAATAATGAAATGGGTAAAATGACTCATTCTTGGATACCAGCTATGACCCCTAGACCAGTTATAGAGTCAAGGATTGAAATTACCATGAGTATTTCCTCTTTATTTTGTTAAGAATATGTTTGTTCATATATGTATGTATATTAAGAAAATATATTTCTTTCCTTTCTTATTCTTTTATCAAGTAACATAAGATGTATTGACTTTATGTCAGTATTTAAGTGTTTATTTTATATCACAGTACTTACGTTACAGGCTATGAGAAGAGTAAAAATTAAATACCTCCTTGGGCCAGCCAGTGGCATGGTGGTTAAGGCAGAGTGGCGGTTAAGACCTAGATGGAACAAAAAGGAAGAGGAAATGTGAATTCTCAATCTCTCTGTTCTAGAGCTGAGACACTCATCTTCCCTTGTCTTTTGACACCAGAACTCCAGGTTCTCTGGCCTTTAGATTCTGAGACTTACACCAATGTCCCTCCCTCCCCCCAGGTTTTCAGGCCTTCAGCCTCAGACTGAGAGTTATACCGTCAACTTCCCCATTTCTCAGTCCTTTGGATTTGGACTGAGCCACTCTGCTGGCATCTCTGTTCCTTCAGTTTGCAGTTGGCCTATCATAGGACTTCTGTGCCTCCATAACTGTGTAAGCCAATCCCCTTAATAAATTTCCTCTTCTATCTCTCCCTCTCTCTCATCTATATCTATAGGGGTAGATTGGAGTGGGTGCTGTGGTATATTTCCCTGAGCCCTTCTCAGGACCAGCTGCCCATAGCTCATAGTAGTGTCCCCCCCAGTAAATAACCCTCCCTGGGGGCCACCCAGACCAAGTAAATAATCAATGGGGGGAACAAAAGATCAGTTCCTTCATCTCAATTCATGACATCTCTAGAGGGCCACCTCTCCTCCACAATCCCTTCTCCTCCATTCCCCTCTCAGGAGTTTGGGCATGCATGCATACACACCCAGCATATTTTTCAAGCCCCTGGGTCCAGGACTTGAACTGCAAAGTGGGTCCCTGTGGAATCCAGCTGCCTTTACCTCCACACCACCTGCTGGACCCCCAGAGAAAATGTTCAAAAGCACCACTAAAGTCCTGGGGGCCCAGGAATTCCTAGCACCCTCACAATAACTTCAGACACCTTCCTGTCCCCAGGTTCCCTTCAACATTCTCTGACCTTAGATCTTCACTAGTCCCTGGGTCTAGAAACTACCCCAACATTCTCGCCACCCGCAAGCATCAGGCAAAGCCCTCAGACTGCTTAGCAAGCTCAGTCTTGACCCCTGGGCCCAAAGGCATTCTTTGTTTCATTTTCTCTTGATTCCTGCCTAGCTCTGGTCACAACTACAAATTCTCTAATTTACTGAGATGTCCACTCGTTTCCTGTCTGCTCCTGCCGGATGAGAACAGTGCCTGCCCAGGAGGCTCTGGACAAAATTACTGAGCATTTACCCCGAGCTTCAAACAGCACTCAGCACTGACTCTCAGCACCCGATGTCCCCACTTGATACACAAGGAATGAGAAAGCATCTATACACATGGACAATGGCCAGACTGTACATGACAATAAAATTCCAACCCCAGGGAGAAGTCCAGAAAGCCGAACCACACCTCTGGAGCAACTGGCTTAGGGCAGGCCACAGCTACTGACATCCAGCTTCCCTGTTTTTGCAAACTCCTACTCAGGACCAACTAGAGAAAGCCAAGTACACTCCCCAAAGCGATCACAGAGGAGGCCCCACTTCCGGTTAGCTGCCTCCAGCTTCCCCAAGCCAACAGCCTCCAATCAGGGCACACTTGAAGCCATCGCTTCTTTGGTTTGTTCTGTTTTATGTCTTTATTTTTTTATTTTATTTTATTTTATTTTTTTGGAGAGATTTTCGCTATAGGGCGCGTGCGCTCGCCAGACAGACATAGAGAGACATTAGAGACAGAAAGCGAGAAATCACCCCCCAGGGGGGATGGCCACGTCGCAATCCGTTCTCCTCCATTCTCCTCTCAGGATCTTGGGCACGCACGCACACGCGCCCAGCGTGAGTTTTAAGCCACCGGGTCCAGGACTCGAACCGCAGTCCACTACGTGGGAGTCCAGCGACATAGCCATTACTCTAACTGCTGATCCCCATATTCATTTTTCTTTAAAAAATGTATGTCTAGGAGTAAAATTATGGTAACTCAATGTGTAGCATTATGAGGAAAAGCCAGTCTGTTTTCCAAGCTGGTTGCACTATTTTACATTCCCACCGGCAATAAATGAGGGTTCCAATTTCTCCACATCTTTACCAGCACTTGGTTTTGCCTATCTTTTTGTTTTGTTTTGTTTTGCTTTTTATTTTTGTTATAGGGTACAGACACTCACCAGAGAGAGAGAGAGAAAGTAAGAAATCATCCACCAGGGGGATAGTCACACCATAATCCCTTCACTTCTACTCTTCTCTCAGAATTTTGGGCACACACACACACATGCTTGGCATGTGTTTAAGCTACTGGATTAAGCACAGCTGGCCATGTGAAATCCAGCCTCCTTAGCCACCACACCACCTGGTTAGCCCTCATGGTGTTTGTTTCTTTGTTAATTTATTTTATTCATTATAGCAAGCATATGCTTGTCTATGTATGCCTCACACACACATGAGAGACAAGCACCCCCAAGAGGGTCTCATCTCACTGTAATCCCCTGTCCCTAGTCTTTGGCTCATCAGGATCTTGGGCACATGCATGCCTTACATGTTGCAGGTCAACTGAGCCAGGTACCCAAATCCACTGAGAGCTACATGGCTTCCAGCACTGTGGTTTAGTAGACTACCAACTATAGCACCACTAAGGCTAGATGTCATTGTGGTTTGGATTTGCAGTTCCCTAATAATTAGTGATGCTGGGGCCAGCAAGTGGCATGGTGGTTAAGGTGCTGGACTTCCACATGGCTGACTGCATTTCAAGTCTCACACCTGGCAGCTTGCTTTCTAACATTTTTTTTTTCTCTCTGTCTGTCTGTCTCTGGTGAGCACACATACTCTACAGAATATTTTTAAATAATAATAGTAAATAAAATTAAATAAATCTTTTTAAAAAATAAAATAATTAATGATGTTGAGCGTTTTTTTCATGTGTTTATTGGCCATCTGTGTATTTCATTTGAAGCGACATCTATTCAAAATCCTATGCCCTTTTTTAAAGTTGGATTGTCTTTTTTGTTGACAAATTGTAAGAGTTCTTTTTTTTTTTTCTTCTGCTATAGGGCATGTGCGCTCGCCAGACCGAGAGAGACAGAGAGATAGAAAACGAGAAATCACCCCCAGGGGGGATGGTCACGCCACAATCCCTTCTCCATTCTCCTCTCAGGATCTTGGGCACGCACGCACACGCCCCCGGCATAAATTCTAAGCCACCGGGTCCGGGATGGGAACCGCGGTCGACTACGTGGGAGTCCAGCAACATAGCCATTACGCTAACTGCTGGTTCCCGACAAGTTGTAAGAGTTCTTTACCTGTTCTAAATAATAGTGCCTCCATGCCTTATCAGATAGATAGTTCATTAACTTTTTCTCCCATTTTGTGTGTTGTCTTCCCACTTCCTTGATGTTACCCTTTGATGCACAAAAGTTTATAATTTTAATCAAATCTAATCATTATTTTTTTTTCTTTTGTTGCTTGTGCTTTTTTTTTTTTTCTTTTTGAGAGGTTTTGGCTATAGGGTGCATGCGCTCGCCAGAAAGACAGAGAGAAGCAGAGAGATAGAAAGCGAGAAATCACCCCCCAGGGGAGATGGCCACACCGCAATCCCTTCTCCTCCATTCTCCTCCCGGGAGCTTGGGCACGCACGCACACACGCCCAGCGTGAGTTTAAGCCGCCGGGTCCGGGACTCAAACCAGCAACATAGCCATTACGCTAACTGCTGGTCCTGTTGCTTATGCTTTTAGCATCATACATAAAGAAAATATTGTTTAATACAAAGTTACCAAGATTTATTCTTTTTTTTTCCCTAAGAATTTAATAATTTTAGTTCCTACTTTTAGGTCTAAGACCTAGTTTGAGTTAATTTTTGGACACAGTGGAGTCCAACTCAAAATTTTGCATGTGGATATGCAGTTATCTCAGAACCATTTATTGAAAAGGCTATTCTTCTCCCTATTGAATTATCTTGGAATCCCTGTTGCAAACTAACTGACCATAAATGTGAGGGTTTATTTTTGGACTCTCAGTTCTAGTCTATTGATCTGTGTAAGTATCTTTAAGCCAGTACCACACTGTCTTGATTACTACAGCTTTTCGATAAGTTTGAATCAGGAAGTGTGAACCTCCAACTTTGTTCTTTGTGGAGATTATCTTGGCTATTCTTGGACCCCTACATTTCCATATGAATTTTAGGATTAGCTTGTAATAAATTTGTTGAGATTTTGATAGACATTGTCTTGAAGTAGATTAACTTCAGTGTACTGCCATCTTAACCATGTTAAGTCTTCTAATTCATGAACACATGACATTTTTTCATTTAGTTAGATCTTTGATTTCTTCCAACAGTGTTTTGTCATTTTCAGTGTACAAGTCTTACACTTCTTTTGCTAAATTTATTCCCAGGTATTTAGTTCTTTTTGCTTCTATTGTTAAAGGAATTGATGTTCTTTTTAAAAAAATAATTATTCATTTAATTTATTATTAGTGTTACTATTTTAAATTTGCTACAGGGCATGTGTGCTCACCAGAAAGAGACAGAGAGAGAGAAAGTGAAAAAGTAAGCTGCCAAGTCTGATACTCAAACTACAGTCAGCCATGTGGGAGTCCAACACTTTAACCGCTATGCCACCTGCCAGCCCCGGAAATGACTCCTTAATTTCTTTTTTGGATTGCTCATTGCTAGTAAACAGAACACAATTGCTTTTTTTTATGAATCACATATCCTCCCTCGTTGCTGAGTATGCTTACTAGTTTTAACAGTGTTTTAATAGATTGATTAACATTTTCTATATATAATATTATGTTTATAATCAGTAAATAGAGATAATTTTATGTCATGGTCCTTTTGGGTTGTTATAATAGAATACTATAGGTTGGGTGGCTTATGAACAACAAAAATGTGTTACTTACATTCAATGCCTGCAGATTTGGATCTGGGGAGGGCCAGTTTCCTGGTTCGTATATCTTCATCTTCTTGTTGTGTCCTCACATAGTAGAAGGAAGGGGAGAGGGTCTCTCTTGGGTCTCTTCCATAAGGTCACTCCTCCAGTTCACCTGCCAAAGGTCCTACCTCCAAATAGCATCAATTTATGGGTTAGTATTTCATTAAATTGGAGGAGGGCATAAATATTCAGATAAGAGCATTTTATTTCTTCATTTCCAATCTGGATGCCTTTTCCACCTTTTTCTTCACTAATTGCCCTGGCTAAGACCTCCAGTACAATGTTAAATAGAAATGGTGAGAGCATTCATCTTTGTCATGTTCCTGATCTTAGAGGGAAAACTTTCAGTCTTTCACCATTGAGGATGATGTTAGTCATGAGCTTTTCATAGCTGCCCTTTATCAGGTATAGGAAATTTCTTTTTATTCTTAGTAAGTCATGTGTTTTTATGAAGAAAAAGTTGGGTCTTGTTGGGTGGGGTTTTTTGGCATTTATTAAGGTGATCACATGATTTTTTGTGTCCTTTATGCTATTTCAAAAATATATTAATTTTATTATCTATATATTATATATTTTAAATATAAAATTTAAATTTGCTATAGGGCTCACGTACTCACCAGAGGAAGAAAGAGAGAGAAGTGAGAAAGCACTCTCCATAGAGGATGGCCACACCATAATCCCTTCATCCAGTCTCCTCTCAGGATTTTGGGCATGCATGTATAAGCTCCTGCCATGTTTTTCCAGCTGCCAGATCTGGAGCTCGCATCACGCAGTTGGCCATGTGGGGTCAGCTGCTTTAACCACAATACCACCGGCTGGCCCATATTTTCTTTCTTTCATGAGAGCATGTGCACATTAGAGAAAGACAGACAAACACCCTTAACAGAGTCTGGTTATGATGCCATCTTCTTCCTTCAGCACTCCAGCTAGTCAGGACCTTGGACACGAGCACACTTGGCATGTTTCAGGTTGACTGAGGATCCAAAGGCATGGTCTGCCATGTGGCTCAGCCCTGCAGATCAGTATGCTATTGCCTATGCTACCAAGGGTGAGCCCCTTTCTTCTATAAATGCAGTATATTGCTCTTTTGGGGGATGTTAACTTTAATGTAAAGCTGTCCCACTCCCCAACCTGCCTTTGAGTCTCTGCCAGACACAAGGAACAGTGACTGACTTCCCTGCTAGAGCGAGCTCCGCATGAACAGCCTTGGCTTGTTCTCATTTGGGTGATCCACAGGAAATCAAAGCACAGAGGATTTCTGTACAGAAGGTATGTTGCATGGGGGGAAGTGAGTCACCAACCCCTGGACCTGTGCCAGGCAAAGGAGTCTCTCAGTCAAACATGGCTGAAAGAAGCCAGTGACCTTGTGCCTCTGCAGGCCAGGCCTTGCTCTAAGAACCATGGGCATATCATCACACTTCACCTATCTGGAACAGCTGTGCCATAGACAAGGAGCCCCACCTAAATCATAAGGAGGGCTTGACTCTGAAACAAACCCAGTGGGACTGCTCATGCCTACCATGTCTCTGGGTTCATCACCTCGGTAGCCACACCTGTCAAGGGTCGATCTGGGCAGGGGAAGCCCAGAGTTGGGAGGGTGGTCTCCTGTCCCAGGCATATCTGCCAGGCAAGCCCCTCCCTTCTCTCTCCTCCATCCTCTAACACAGCCCACCTGGATGTTTGTCTACAATATCATGGAGCCAATATGGAAGCTTCTCCAGACCAGCTGACAACAGAAGCCCTGTGCAGACGCAGCCCCAGGAGCCCACCTGCCCTAGAATCATGCTGACACACCTCAAGCAGATGCTGCCTTGTGAGGTCAAGCTGGTGGGCCACTTGGCAAGGCATTTCAGGTGTGGCGCTCCCATATGTTGGGCCCTACAAGCTATACCCTAGAAGCTTACCCTCCCAGTGAACCTTCGAGTGCCCGTGAACATGGGTTCCACTAGTGCTGAAGCAGCCTGCTGCTATGGTTTCTTCATCAACCCAGAAGTCAGACTTGGGAAACCCTTTCATTGAAACAGATTGCAGCCCCTCTTTGGCCTTCAGGCCTGAACTCAGGCCCACCTGACTTCCTTCTGAGCTTACTATCTGCACCAGGGCTCAGTGCCTACCCCTCTTAACCTGGCCCCTGAGACTTCTTTTCTGTTCCTCCAACCTCACCCCTCTGCCTAGGTGCTCCTCCCCAGCTCTGTGGGGCTGGCTCCTTCCCAAGCCTCCTGGATCCATTCTGGCTCCTCCCAGCCCCCATGCTGCAAGAGTGCCCGGACCCATGACTCTTTATCAAGCATAATGAGAATCCTGTCCTCCCTCAAGATTGATAATTATCATCATGGCTTCGCCTTGTATACAAGCTACAAGAGCCTAGGTAAGGTCCTTGAGTGGAGGGGTCCTGGCTGCCTGGCTCCTTGCGGCCAGTGCCCAGGGCAGTGCCTGGCACACAGTAGGCATCCACTAAATATTTGATGCACGACTGAGGAGAAGACAGAACCGGCTGGTGGGGCATGACCTGCTTTGGAGGCTGGTGGGCTGAGGCGGACACACACAGCATACAGGGATTTAGCCCTGAGGGTGGGGTCAGTGTTTCCCTCTGCCTGTTGCCCCCTCCCCCACTCCTACTGGTGGGAGTGTCTCTATCTCTGGGGGCAACAGGGAGCTTATAGAATAGCAGATGCCCAGGACATCCTGAGAAACACTTCCTTATACTAGAGGCCTATTCTGCTCTCTCTTTTTTTTTTTTTTTTACTGTTCATAAAGAGATTTTTGTCACAGGACAAATGTGCTTGCCAGAGAGACAGAGAGACACAAAGCAAGAAATCACCCCCAGGGCCCCAGATGAGCCCCTGCCCATGAAGCAGCTCCACTGTCCACCTGTGTTCTTGGGAAAGAGATGGGAAATGTTCATCGGTGTGTCACCTACAGCGACAACATTCAATTGGTCACTTGGGGAGAAAGCACTCCCATTCTCTGAATCAGTCTCCATTTCCTCATTAGCTCAAGACAGTGCAGGGCAGTGGGACCTGGCCCCCAGGCCTTCCCAAGTCAGCCAGACTTGTAGGGCTGGCATCCCTGGGCACTGCACTGCCAGGATGTGCCGGAAATACATTATTGGAGGAACTCTTTCAGGTGGTTCAGGTATTCTAGATACTTAACACTGGTCTGGGAGCTATCCTTGAAGACTCCCCTAACAGAGGTCGGGTCCCCTTAATTCCCCTTTCCAAGACACAAGGGATTGGCAGATTCTTGGGCCTCAGGGCCACCCAGGTTCCCGCCCTGAGATGAATGAGAACAAAGCGCGCTATCTTTGCATAGCCATTCACCTGCATAACACTTCTTCCGGGGAAGCCCTCCGGGATTGTTCGAGCGTCTGACGCTAAAGGGAAAAGTTCTCTGAAAACCGCAGCGGCGCTTCTAGGCTCCCAGGCACAGACTGCAAAGCCAGCTCTCAGGAGCCGCCCTTCTGCCAGCTCCTCGGGGGCTCCTAGGGATACGGCAGCTCGAGGCTGCATCTGGTACCTGGCACCCGGCACCCAGGCCCCAAGGTCCTGACCGCACGGAGATCTAAAACCTCGAAGTGCGCGTGCGCTGGGTCGGAGGAAGGTGGTAGCGCCCCGGAACCCCTCAACCCCAGCGCCCAAGCCGCGGGAAGCAAGGCCAGAGGGAGTGAAGGGGTGAGCGCCGAGCCGACCGCGGGGGCGGGGCCTTAGGGGGCGGGGCTTCGGGGGGCTATAAGCGGCGCGGAGCAGGGCGCGCGCCCAGCCAGAGAGCGAGCGCGCAGCAGCGGTGGCGGGAGCCGACGCGGGGGGCG